GTGACTCCCACAGCCTTCCTGTTAAGGAAGACGTTAATCAGATTCACCAGTTGGTTTGGATAACTTTTCAAAGAGACATCCAGATGCAGAAGAAACATTTTTACACCAATTCATTTCAGTAAAGGAGGTGCCTGAGAGCTTTGGGGTACATTTCATTGAAAGCAAAACAAAATGCCTGCTGAAATATCCTGTGCCGTTTTCTGGAGGGAGGTTTCTGTCCTAAGTAGCTTATCTATAGCAGTCATGAGGCCACTTCACAATCACAGGAAATGCTCACCATGGATATTGTGTTTGTAATGAGTCTGCGATCTGCGGTATTACAAGCGCTGCAAACAGCTGGAAATATTTTGGTGTGTTCAGTTTTTTAAATCAAACCACAGACAGGCAACTTGTCAAGCTGCATTTAGAATCATAGAGTTGGAAGACACCTCCAAGGACATCTAGTCCAACCCCTTGCACAATGCAGGAAATTCACAAATATCTCCCCCTGATCCTCCTGCTGCACGCCCAGAAGATGGTGAAAAAACCTCCAGGATCCCTGGCCAAACTGGCCTGGAGAAAATTCCTTCCTGACCCCAAAGTGGCGATCAGCATTTCCCTGGGCGGGTAAGAAAGGGCCACGAGAACTAAGCACTGAGGCAGCCCTTGCTGCCCTCCCTCTCAGGATCTGCCCAAGTTCACAGAATCACCTAGCCTCTGTTTGAAAACCTCCAGAGAAGGAGAGCCCACCACCTCCCGAGGAAGCCTCTTCCACCGAGGAACCACTCTGTCAGGAAGTTCTTCCTTATGTTTAGCTGAAAATTCTTCTAATTTAATTTAATTTAAACCCATTGGTTCTGGTCCAACCTTCTGGGACAACAGAAAACAACTCCGCACCATCCTCTCTATGACAGCCCTTCTGTTAAGTACGAGACCCAACACAGCTAGTGAACAGTGAATCAGCTTTACTTAACGAAGTCAGAAGAAATCAGAACGAGACAAAAACATAGCGCAACAGGCTCTCTTTTAAACAGTCCGGGCTCGGGTAGCCACGCCCACAAGTCAGATATTAACCAATCACGATTTACAGATAAGGTCCAATCAGAGTGCTTCCCTTTAGAACATTGTGCAGCTCTGATGGGTCTATTTACAATCCTGTCTCAGAACTCAAGCTCCATACAGATCTTAATACACAACACCTTCAAGTACTTGAAGATGGTGATCATACCATGGGTAGGCTCACAAGGGTGATGCCTCTCCTGAACCTGCCCTGCTCCCTCACCACTGGGCCCCTTCAGCTCAGCCAGCGGCACCTGCCACCATAGAGCGAGGTGGGAAAGTGGTGTGGAAGGGGAAGTCTTCTGCAGGCCCACCCAGGGCAGCTTCAGGTGAGCTGCTAAGAGAGGTGAGGGGCAGAGGAGCAACTGCAGGTGAGCTGTACAACAAATTCAGAGTCCCGTGGGGGCACCTTTAAGACCAGCTAGGGTTTATTCAAGGTATGAGCTTTCATGTGCAAGACACACTTTATCAAGTAGGTCAGAGTGGCGGGCAAGGTTCACACTTATAGCCGGAGAATGAACAGCAAATTAACATGCAACATGATGATGACCGATGGGGTAATTTCGTAGAAAAAGAGGTGCAGGAGCTCATTAGCATAACTTATTTGCATATGCCACACCCCCTGGCATCACCAGAAGTGTGTCAGAAGGAAACACCCACCACTCAGGCTCCACTGGACTGTTTTGGATTGCTAGCTATGGGGGGGGGGGATGTGCAGACCTGCCCTGGCAGAGGAGGGAGAGCTTGTACCTGAATAAAACTTGGTCTTAAAGGTGCCACTGGACTCTCTTGGACTGGGGGGCCAGCGGGGGGCTCTGCAACTTACCTGGCTGCTTCTTGCTCTGACTGAGGGCTGCTGGGAGCAGGGGGTGGGGCTTGTTGCATGTGCCCGCCCCCTGGACTCTTTACTGCCGGAGCCCCGCTCCTGTGCGCTCCTGCAGGAAATGACCCCTGGTTTAGAACCTATGAGATATTGAGTGGAAGTTCCTGTGCTAGAAAGGGATGTCTACCTCTCCCTCCAAAAAATGCTGTTATGTCAGCAGGCATCCTCATATCCCTTGCAGACATTCAGAGTTCTAATATACTATTCTGAAAAAGAAATACACTAAAATAGATTAAAATACAGAGGATTTATAGTCCTTCTTCTTGAGAATACATATGTGAGGACTGAATGAGTTAGCACATGTAATGGGATAAAAATGGGATAAAAATCCAATATCCCTGTTGAGTCCTAGGGAGGTTTTTGTACTGAGTGTTGTAATAACTTGTAATTCAGCCATTTCCCTTCCCATTCTGTTTCACCAGCAGGTGAGCTGGTGAGGGTGGGGGAAGAAGGGGAGTGAAGGTCAGCTGGCCCACCTGGAGTTTCTCCAGCTGAGCCGCCGAGAGTGGGGGTCTGGGGAGAAGCCTTAGTGGGCCCGCTCAGAGCAGCTCCAGGTGAACCACTAAGAGCAGCGGGGGTGGGGGGAAGGGGAGGGAAGCTTGGCTGGCCCCCACCAGCTCGCCTGCAGTTGCCCTGGGTGAGCTGGCAAGGAAGGGGAGGGGAGGTCGGCTGGCCCTCCCGGAGCAACTCCAGACAAGCTGGCGAGGGAAAGGAGACGAGGGGAGGCAGATCACTTGGCTCATCCAGAGCTGCTCTGGGCAAGCCAGCAAGGGAAGGGGAGGGAGGGGATGGGTGCGTGGGCTGGCTGCTTAGGGTGAGCCAACTGACCTCCCCTACCCTCCATCACCGGCTCACCTGGAATTGCTCCAGGTGGGTCTGCTGAGTTCCCCCCCCCCCGGACTCAGCAGCTCACCCAGAGCTGGGCAAGCCTGTGAGGGAGGGGGAGAAAGGTCGGCTGACCTGCCCAGAACAACTTCTAGCATGCTGCTGAGAGCAGTAGAGGAGGAGGAGGAGGAGGAGATTGGAATTATACCCTGCCCTTCCCTCTGAGCCTCAGAGCAGCTTGCAAACTCCTTTCCCTTCCCCTCCCCACAACAGACACCCTGTGAGGTAGGCGGGGCTGAGAGAGCTCTTTCCAGAACTGTCCTTGAGAGAACAGCTCTGACAGAACTATGGCTTTCCTAAGGTAATCCATCAGCTACAAGTGGAGGAGTGAGGGATCAAACCTGGTTCTCCCAGATTAGAGTCCGCGCACTTAACCACTACACCAAACTGGCTCTCAAACTGGAGGGGGTGCTTGGCACCCTTAACAAAAAAAATGCCCCCCCATCTCTAGCTACAGGCCTGACCAGGGGTCATTTCCTGCGGGAGCGCACAGGAGCCGAGCTCCGGAAGTAAGGAGCCCAGGGGGTGGGCACATGCAACAAGCCCCGCCCCCTGCTCCCAGCAGCCCTCAGTTGGGCCATGAGGAGCAAGAAGCTGCCAGGTAAGTTGCAGAGCCGCCACCCCCAGCCCGCCTTCAGGTACAAGCTCTTCCTCCTCTGTGAAGGCAGATCTGCGCATCCCCCCCTATAGCTAGCAATCCAAAACAGTCCAGTGGCACCTCTAAGACCAAGTTTTATTCAGGTACAAGCTCTCCCTCCTCTGTGAGGACAGATCTGCACGTCCCCCCCCCCAATAGCTAGCAATCCAAAACAGTCCAGTGGAGCCTGAGTGGTGGGTGTTGCCTTCTGACACACTTCCGGTGATGTCAGGGGGTGTGGTATATGCAAATGTTATGCCAATAAGTTATACTAATGAGTTCCTGCACTTCTTTTTCTACCTAGCTCGAGTGTTTGCCGAAGAAAAAGCCAATGAGCTTCCCCCCCACCGCAACTCAGACTATGTGATTGAGTTGTTGCCAGGGCACAAAATGCCCAAGGGGAAGCTCTATGCTATGAGTCCCTGGGAGAAAGTGGAGTTGCGGAAATTTATTGATAAAAAAACTGGCCAGAGGCTTCATCCGGCCCGCCTCTTCCCCGTTTGCGGCCCCTGTTCTCTTCCAAAAAAAGAAAGATGGGGGTTTGCGGCTTTGCATCGACTGCCGGGGGTTGAATGCCATCTCCTCCACAAATCCTTACCCCATGCTGTTAATCAAAGATCTCTTGCCCGAAGTAGCTAAGGGAAAGATCTTTTCCAAGCTTGATTTACGGGACGCTTATTTTCGTGTGCGCATACGGGAGGGGGACGAATTCAAGACTGCATTCAATACCCCTTTCGGCCAGTTTGAATACCTGGTGATGCCATTTGGTCTCCAGGGGGTTCCGGGAGTCTTTATGAATTTGATAAATGAAGTGTTGCATAAGCACCTGTTTAAGGGGGTACTGGTCTAGTTAGATGACATCTTGCTGTACTCCCCCGACAAATCCTCTCATGTGCAGTTGGTGAGGGAGGTGCTCAAAACGTTGCACAAGCACAAACTGTTTGCCAAACTGTCAAAATGCAAGTTCCATCAGACAGAAATTGACTTTCTGGGTTATCACATCTCACCCCGCGGCATAGAAATGGACCGGGGAAAGGTAAAGGACGTTTTGGGGTGGGAGGCCCCTAAAGCTCACCAACAACTTCAAAGCTTCCTAGGGTTTGCCAATTTCATAGTAATTTTCTGCCGAACTTTGATCAAGTGAGCTTGCCCCTTACTGACTTATTGAAAACAAGAGGGAAGGGACCAGAGGCTGCTAAGCCGGGAGCTAAGCTGCTTTGGACCCCTGAGTGCCAAGATGCTTTCTATAAATTAAAAGCTCTTTTCACCACCGAACCTGTGTTGGCGCACCCAGACGAAACAAAGAAATTTGTGGTATAAACTGACGCTTCTGATGTGGCTATGGGTGGTGCAATCCTGCAAGAGGGGGCAGACGGCGAACTCCATCCCCTAGCATATGTGTCTTGCAAATTCACTGACACCGAACGTAATTGGTCAGTCTGGGACAAAGAGGCAGGGGCCAACCTTCTCGGTTGTACTGACTGCAAGAACAAAGGGCTAATATCTAAAACATATACAATCCTATCTGAGCTTAGCACTAGCTGTCAGACTACTTACCAGCAAGCTTGGGAAAAGGATTTACATGTTAGGCTTCAAAAGGATCAGTGGTTGTGGGTATGGCGCACCACAAGCCGTATTTCGAAGTCCCTTATGATTCAAGCCTCGGCATATAAACTAATGTTTAGATGGTATCTTACACCAGTTAGACTTGCGCATATGTCTTCTAATGTACGTCCGCTATGTTGGAAGAAGTGCGGTATTAAGGGGTCTTTTATTCATTTATGGTGGGACTGTGTTCATATTCAGGAATTTTGGAAACAAGTTCTACAACTCATAAACTACTTTACAGGAGTAACTGTTCCTATGGATCCAGTTATTATTTTATTAAATCTATGGGAAGAGGATCAGATTCCCAGAGATTGCAAATATCTAATCATAACCCTTCTGACTGCAGCTAAAGCAACAATTGCTCAGCATTGGAAAAATGAGAACCCTCCAACAACTGACCAATGGATAAGGAAAGTATGGGATTATTTTACCCTAGAAAAATTTTCAGTTTTTTCTGATAGGAAAGTTATGACAAGGTTAATTCTTAACCCTTTAGATAAATGGTTTCCTTTCTTGGAGAAGGTAGAGGCAGAGAAAATGATTTGTGAAAAATGGGCTATATATAATATTAGTGCATTGTTAATGTAAGGTTGTATGCAGGTTCAATGCTTGGCATTTTGAGCTAAGGCAGCAGACAACAGGGAGGGACATTTTTCTGCCTCAGACTTTGGGAAACTGTTGTCAGAGTAAACTATGCTGAGCTCAGCGGCCCAAAGGTCTGACTCAGTAGAAGACAGGTTTGGATTTTCATCTTGAATTCAGATTGGTGAATTTCACCTTTTCCCCCTTCAGCGCTCTCTCTCTCTCTCGCTCTCTCTCTCTCTCTCTCCCCCTCTCTCATTTGCATTTATATCCTGCCCATCCCACAGGCGTGCTCAGGGCAGGTCACATCATTGAAATAAATACAATTTCAGTTTAAAACATTAAACATTAAAACACAATAAAACATTATAACAATTAAAACAATGGGTACAGCTTGGAAGAGCATAAGTTGGCTATAAAGTTCTGGCCTGATGGTGCAGTGAGTTAAAGGCCAGTTGTCGGTGGTCAGTAAATAGACAGGTGACAGCAACCTCAGGGAGGCCATAGATGGGCGCCCGCTGCCTCAACCAAAAGCCTGGTGGAACAGCTCTGTCTTGCAGGCCCTGCAGAATTGAAGAAGATCCCGCAGGGCCCTGGTCTCAAAAGGGAGCATGTTCCACCAGGCTGGGGCCAGGACACAAAAAGCCCTGGCCCTGGTTGAGGCAAGACGGGTGTCCCTCGGGCCAGGAACCACCATGAGGTGTCGATCTTTTGAGCGTAACGCTCTTCGAGGCGTATGTGGGATATGTTGGCCCCGGGCCGTATAAGGCTTTGAAGGTCAAAACCAGCACCTTGAAGCGCATCTGATACTCAACTGGCAACCAATGCAGTTGGCAGAGCACGGGCCTAATGTGAGCCCGCACAGGCGTTGACGTCAGCAGGTGCGCCGCCGCATTCTGCACCAGTTGCAATTTCCGGATCAGCTTCAAGGGTAAGCCTGCGTAGAGCGAGTTGCAGTAATCAAGTCTGGAAGTGACCACCGCATGGGTCACCGTCACTAGGTCATGGGGGGGAGGGGGAAGATAGGTCTTCAGTAGCCTGATCTGCCTAAGATGGAAAAATGCAGATCTGGCAACTGCAGCAACCTGGGCCTCCATGGAAAGGGAGGCATCCAGTGTCACTCCCAGACCCCTCACTGTCTGGGCCAGCACCAAAGGTGCCCCTTCCAGTGTGGGAAGCCTGGTGCCCCCATCTAACCCCCCTCAACCCAGGTACAGGACCTCCATCTTCGATGGATTTAACTTCATCCGACTCTGCCTCAACCATCCAGCCACAGCATCCAATTCCTCAGCCAAGTTCGTAGGACCGGAAGACGGATTGGCATCCATTAACAGGGAGAGCTGGGTGTCATCAGCATACTGATGACAACCCAGCCCATAACTAACTGGGCAAGGGGGTGCATATAGATGTTAAATAACATTGGTGAGAGGATCGCCCCCTGCAGCACTCCACATTCTAGTGGGTATCACGGGGAGACTCTCTCGCCGAGTGCCACCCTCTGTCCCCAATCATGGAGAAAGGAGGAAAACCATTTCAAGGCCGTCCCCTGAACTCCTACATCGGCAAGGTGGTGGGTCAATAGATCATAATCGACCGTATCGAATGCTGCCATTAGACCTAATAGTAACAGCAGTGCCGATCCACCCTGGTCCAGATGTATATGGAGGTCATCTGTAAGGGTGACCAGAGCCATCTCTATCCCATGACCAGGGCGGAAGCCATACTGGAAGGAATCAAGGATAGAAGCATCATCCAGGAAGGCATGGAGGTGTTCAGCCACCACTCTCTCAACCACCTTACCCA